CCTACGCAACGTAGTCCCGTAAGTAGGCGGGGCTCCGTACTTGTCTACTGGACCTGCGCAGGTCAGTTGTTTCCTGGTTCCCGGCCTGTTCGGTCGGGGTTTTTGTTGCTCTCAGTCTATTTGATGGAATCGTCTGGAGTGTGGGCCTGCTGCTGCAGCTCCCTCCCGGTCTACCCGGGTTGGTCGAGCTGCGGCTTTTGCCGCTCCCGCTTGGTCTTTCCGGGCTGGTCGAGCTGGCTTGGCTGCTTTTCCTTGGTGCGGCTTCGAGTTGGCTGATATCTGGTGAGTATAGTTGGTTGTGTTCTATTCTTTCTTGGTCCCCTGTATTTTCCCTCCCCCCTTGGTTAGTGTTAATGGGGTTGTCTGTGTTTGCTTGCGTGTCGGTTGTGTTTTTTATTCGAGATCTTAACTGATCTATGTGGCGTTTCCATGCTTGCCCGTCCGTTGTTTGTAGTCTGTATGAATGGGGACCTGTTATTTGGGTTATAGTTGCCGGTACCCATAGTGGGTCTCCGGTAAGGTTTTTTGCGTAGACTGCATCGCCTGGTTTAAATGCCCGGTGTTTGCTTGATGAGTCCGGGGGCTTCTCCGGGTTGTATGTGGGGTGCAGTCTGTCAAGTGGGGACCTTAGTTTCCTCCCCATCAGTAATTCTGCCGGGCTTTTGTTGGTTGTCGTGTTAGGGGTTATATGTTGTATTAGAAGCAGTTTATTTATTTTTTCCTGTATATTCCCGTGCTCGATTTTCTGGATGGTTTTCTTTGTGAATTGGACCATCCGTTCCGCCCTACCGTTGGCCGCCGGATGAGCCGTCGCTGTCAAGGCGTGTCGTATGCCCTTTTCTGCTAGGAATTTTTCGAATTCCAGCGAGGTGAATTGGGGCCCGTTGTCCGACACGACGACATCCGGAAGGCCGTGGGTCGCGAACAGTTTATTTAGTACCCTGGTGATGGCTTCAGTTGTGGTGGTTTTCATGTCGCTTACCTCCAGCCAATTGGAGTAAGCGTCCACCGTGATGAGGAATGTGTGCCCCCTTGTGGGACCGGCAAAGTCTATATGTACTCTAGACCATGGTCCCCTGGGGGTCTCCCATTCTAATATTGGCGCGGCAGGGGGATTTGGTCTGGTTTCTTGGCAGCGTGAACACCTGGCCACCCACCCTTCAATTTCTTTGTCTATGCCTGGCCACCACGCGTAACTTCTGGCCAAGGCTTTTGTTCGTACGATGCCTGGGTGCCCGTCATGCAGAAGTTTTAACACTTTCCCTTGCAACTTCTCTGGTACGACCACCCTGTCCCCCCATAACAAACAACCTTTCTGTAGAGATAGTTCGGTTTGTCTGTTTCTGAAGGGTTTGAATGATTCGTCGTTGTCTTTTTCCGGCCACCCTTTCTCTACCCAGTGCAATACCTGCGCCAGACGTTTGTCTTTATTTGTTTCTCGGGCAATGTCTGACGCGGTTATGGGCAGATCGGGTAGCGCCTCTATGCTGAGGGTGGTCGTCGTGGGTGCTGGGTCGTCATCGAGGTCGGGTAATGGTGAACGGCTTAGTGCGTCTGCATGGGTGATTGTCTTACCGGGGCGGTGTATGAGCCGGTAGTCGTAAGCGGCGAGGAATTCGGACCACCTTGTCATCCTGGGGGATATGATGTTCGGTGTGGCCCTGTTTCCCGCCAGGATTCCTAGCAACGGTTTGTGATCTGTGATAATTGTGAATCGACGGCCGTAAAGATACTCGTGGAATTTCTTTACGGCTGCGACGATGGCAAGGGCTTCCTTGTCTAGTTGGCTGTAGTTTCTTTCTGGCTTGCTAAGTGTTCTTGAGAAAAATGCAATGGGTGCTTCTTTTCCGTCCGTTAGGGTATGGCTGAGGACGGCACCGACGCCAAAAGGTGAGGCGTCGCATGTGACGGTAAGGGGTAGAGTCTCGTTGTATTGTATGAGGACGGCGTCCGAGGTTAGCAGGTCTTTTGTTTTCCTGAATGCGGTTTCCTCACGCGTCCCCCAGGACCATTTTGATGTTTTATCCAGTAGCCTATGCAAAGGCTCCGCCGCGGTTGCCTTTTGGGGTAAGAACACGTTATAAAAATTGAGTAGTCCCAGAAATGCCTGTAACTCTGTCTTGTTTTTGGGGGTCGGGGCTTCCTTGATGGCTTTTACTTTGTCCCTGGTCGGGTGGATGCCATGTCGGTCTAGGAGGTATCCCAGAAACTCGACTTTCTCTGTGTAAAGTTGGCATTTTTCTCTTTTCACTTTTAAACCGGCCCCTTTGAATTTCTCTAGTACTTCCCTTAGGCGACCCTCTAGTTCTTCCCGGTTGGTTGCTGATACTAGTACGTCATCGAAGTAAGGGACCACCCCTTTTATTCCTTGTAGGAGTCTCTCCATGAGGCTTTGAAAAATCCCCGGGGCCACGCTGACTCCAAACTGGAGTCGGTTACAACGAAACGCCCCCCGGTGGGTAACAATAGTCTGTGCTTCGGCGGTTTCGTCATCGACCGGCAGCTGCTGATAGGCTTGTGCCAGGTCGAGCTTCGCGAAGACTTTACCCCCCCCCAGTGAGTGAAGTAGATGTTG